AGGCCATCGGGGAGCTCCTGAACTAAGAGGGGAAATAGAGGAATGGAAAACCTCGATAAAAAACCCGGAGTTCTCAGCTCCGTTAGTCCCCACGGACGGGGGCAACTGGGATAGGGGAGTAAACCCTGACTTCAAATCCGGGGACGTCCGACCCCGTCAGCCACGGCGCAGTCGGACTAGGGGAGTAAACCCTGAGTACAAATCCGGGGTGTCCAGCTCCGATAGGCGCTTTCGGGTCGGCCACTGGACTAGGGGAAGGAAAACCCTGANTTCAAACCCGGGCAGGACGGGCTCGTTACTCTTGGCTGGGAACCGTCCTAGGTGAAGGACACACCGAAATTAAACCAACTTTAATGATTCAATGGGATGTCGAACATTAAAGAGATAACCGTACCGCAGCAGGGGCTTCGGACCCCCAGCTGCCGGCGCGAGGGAGTTACCGTCCCGGGCTCCCTCCCGTCGTCATCAAACGACGGGCTTTGTGGTGCTTGCCCCGCAGGGGCACCACAAGAACCTGCGTCTGCGAAGACCGGCGGCTTGCCGGTTCGCGAGGGGAGTGAGTCCCCTATTCTCCGCCCCCGGAAGAACCGGAGAGTTATCCGTGGGGACGGGGAAACCGAGACCCACATGAATCGTCCTTGTGGCGGCATGTGGATCTCGGACGAGTCCGAGGAGGAGGTGACGATGGCTGCAGCACATCTGGCCTCGTCGTGCACGGTATCAGAGCCGGGTCCCTCGACATCTCGTGCCGGGGCTCCCGTGCCTGATGCCTCAACCTCCCCGTTACCGCAGGATGGCTCCGAGGATGAACTCGAAGTCATCTCTGTGCGCTTGAGTGGGTCTCAACGAGATCTGAAACCCACAGCTCCCCCCCCTCTCCCTCAGGAGAGGGATCCATCTAAGGGGGAGAAGAGGAAACGAGGGAGAGGACGCCCCCCAACATCAGGGGATTACGTGGGGCTAGCGGAAGCAAAGGAGCGGCTGAACAGGGCCGAAGCAGAGGCCCTGGAGAACCGGGCGGAGAGGGAGCTGGCGGATGATATGGACGCCATCCGCATGCCTACACGCGCGACTGGCCCTGCAACGGAACTCTCTTCCACACAGAGCCAGTCAACGCGGGAGGAGCTCCCAATTATTATTAATCGGGACCTCCCCACCTCCCAGATTGTCCATCATGCTGGGAGGTGGAGAGCCCAGATAGTCAGGATGGCTGTGACCTCCAAACGCCTCAAGGGCACGTACATCAAGGGCCTTAAGGAGGCCGCAGCCAATATGGAGGAGGCGGTACGCGTGCTCGTTGACCGTATGGACACCAGCGAGGAGGTTCAACGGCTGAGCGCGCAGAACAAGCGCATGCACGGCGAGTTAGCCGAGATGCGCGAGACGATCTCCTCCATCCGGGAAGAGAGGGACTCTGTCCAAGCGAAGATGGACAGAGTCGCAAGAGAGAACACCAGGATGAAGGGAGAAATGGAGGCCCTTCATGAGGATTTGAAAAACCTGCGGCGGGAACAGATGTCCCACAGGCTGGCACCGCTCAAGGCACTTGCCACCACTGCGGATCCCCCACCGCTGCCAGAAACAGCGGTGGAGGAACCTCCGCCCCTCCCACAGAGAGAGGCAAGACGGAGGCGTGCGAAGCCACTCCCTGCACCCCCGCGGAACTCCAGCCCGGAGTCAGACGGGGGTATGGACGTGTCACCGTCCAGGGAGAAGGTGCACGACGGCGGCCGGGAATCCCCAATCCCGTTAAGGGACCAGGGCACCCAGCCCAACGTAGAAGATGTCCACCTCGGTGTGTGTCCCTCAGAATTCAAGGACACGAAGTCCCTTCTGAGGGAGCACACCAGAATGGTGGACAAAATGATAACTGAACGCCTGGATAAGTTCTTCCAGGCGTTCATGGATCGGCAACTTCGCCCCGCCCTGGGGGCTAATCCCCAGAAACGGACGGAGGCACCCGATCAAGGGATGACGGGGAGCAGCAGCCAGGCCGCACTTAGTGTGGCGACTGCAACCCCCATGCCCCCTACCCAGGAGACCGGGACGGCCGCGAAGGCCAAGAAAACGGGGGCGAAGAAAAAGAAGAAGGGCGCAAAGAAGAAGGACGGGGCCGGGCAACAGCCGGGGACCGGTACGGTGGCCAAAGCCACCCCCCGGCCCTCCACGCAAAAGCCCAGTGCACCCGCGACCTCTTCGCAGCCCTCCGATCCCACCACTTCAAAGGACACTTGGTCCCAGGTGGTGGGACGAAAGAAGAAGCTTGCGCCACAAGGAACCTCCTTAAAACCGCTCAGCGGCCAAGGAGGCGACAAGGGACGGGCTGGGGCAAAGACGGGCACGGCTAAAGCAACCGGCCCACCCAAGCCTAAGTTGGGAAGACCCCCCCGCTCGGCGGCGGTGGTCCTGTCTGCCCCAGAGGGAGCCAAGAGCGACTTTCTGGGGGAGGTGTTACGATACGTCCGGGAGAAAGTCCCTTTGGAGGGTTTTGGCATCCCGGACGTCCGTCCAAGAAGAGCCCTTACCGGGGCCCTCATTCTTGAGATCCCCGGGAAGGATAGCGACGCCAAGGCGGAGGAACTCTACAAAGCTATCCTCCCCTTGGTGGTCGAAAAGGGAGGGAGACTCACGAGGCCGGTGAAGACGGTAGAACTTCGCGTGCGCGGCCTCGATGAGTCCATCTCTCAAAGCGAGGTACAAGAGACGGTGGCGACCGTCGGTGGTTGTGCGGTGGCCGCGGTTAAAGTCGGTCAACCGCGCGCCTCCCCCGGCGGATTAAGCACCGCCTGGATACAATGCCCCTTAGCTGCGGCACAAAAAGTTGTAGCAGCGGGGGCACTAAAGATAGGGTGGGTAAGGGCGCCGGTGGAGATATTGGAGAGGCGCCCTCTCCAATGCCACCGATGTCTCCGGCGCGGGCACGTAACGAATGCGTGCCCTCATACAGCGCCCGAAGAGGACAGACGCGGTCGCTGCTATAACTGCGGCGACCGCGGACACCGGGTGTCGACATGCACGTCGGCACCCAAGTGTCCGTTGTGCAGCGACCTTGGGCTACCCGCAAATCACCGCCTGGGGGGTAAGGCTTGTGCCCCAACCCCCAGCAAGGGAAAGAAGAGGCGGGCGCCCAAGGCAGCGGGTCCCACGAGCGGCACTCAGCTCGCTCGAGGGACGGAGTCCCCCGCCGGCGAACAAAGTTCGCCGGCAACACAGGGGGTGGCCGTCTCTGTTACTGCGCAAGACGCAGTAACACAGAGCAGCGAGGGGATTGCACCCCCCTCCCCTCCTGCGAGTAGGGCCCTGGAGGAGGAAGCAATGGACATTGCATAATGTCATTGCTCCTCCAGGGTAACCTCAATCACGCCCGCGAGGCACAGGACCTCATGGTCCACAGCCTCGCGGAGCTAGGGGGAACTCTCGCAGTGGTGGCCGAGCCCTACTCCATCCCGGACCACCCCTCGTGGACGGGATCGGAGGACGGCTCGGTCGCATTTTATTTTCGGTGGGGGCCTCGACCGGAGGCAACTATCTTCTCCCCGTTAGAAAGGGGAGAAGGCTTTGCGGTAGTGCAATGGGGGGAACTCAACGTCGTCGGGTGCTACTTCTCGCCCACGAGACCCTTCCACGAGTTTGAGAGGTACTTGGACGGGCTGGAGCTCGTAATACGCCGCTACCAGTTCCGTCCATTACTTGTCCTGGGGGACTTCAATGCCTGGTCCAAGGCTTGGGGTTCCCTCAGGACGGACGAGCGTGGAAGGGCTCTTGAAGACTGTGCGACGGCCTGCGGCCTCGCCGTTCTCAACGAGGGCACGCAACTCACGTGCATTAGGCAGTTCGGGGGCTCGGTGGTTGATGTGACCTTCGCCTCCCCGTCTGCCGCAGCACGTGTGTCCGGGTGGAAAGTAAGGGATGACACGGAGACCTTGTCAGACCATCGTTATATAACGATGAGGGTCTCCGTGCTCCCTGACAACAACCCCCGGGGCCGTCGCGGGGCGAGAAGGAAGCCCTGCTCCCAAGGGTGGGTCCTAAAAAAGATGGACCCGGCTATCCTGTCCGCCGCTGTCCAGGTCGCGGCTTGGCCACGTCCACCGGCCGAGCCGCGTGACCTCCGGGCGGAGGTAAGGTGGTTCCGCAGAACGGTCACAACACTTTGTGACGCGGCTATGCCACGTTCTCGCGGACCGCCTAACCGGAGGTCGGCGTATTGGTGGTCGGGGGAGATTGCGGACTTGAGAGCCGCAGCAATCCACGCCCGACACCAGTACGTCCACGCCCGTCGTCACCTGCCGGGTGACGATGAGGCAACCGAGGCAGCGGAGGCTGCCTACGAGGTGTACCGCGCAGCGCGCAAAGCCCTCAAGGCAGCCATAAGGAAGGCGAAGTCCCGAGCGTGGGACGAGCTCCTCCAAACTGTTGACGAGGATCCATGGGGCCGTCCTTACCGTCTGGTGATGGACAAGTTGCGCCCCTGGACCCCGCCAGTTACGGAGCGTCTGGACCCCCAGCTCCTGGAGAGGGTGGTGTCGACCCTCTTCCCAGGCGGAGAGGGCGACTGGCCCTCCCGTGAGCCTGAGCTGGACCCCCCTGCTGGGTGGTCCAGTGACCTGGGGGTCACAGAGGAGGAGCTGAACCGGGCCATCCGTCGGATGATGGTTAAGAATACTGCGCCCGGTCCCGACGGAGTGCCCGGCAAGGTCCTGGGCTTCGCCTTCGGACGGGATAGTCCTTTGGGAGAGCGCCTCAGGCACATCCTCACAGAGTGCCTGAGGACAGGTTGGTTCCCCCCAAGCTGGAAGCAGGCCAGCCTGGTCTTGCTCCAGAAAGGTGGGCGGCCCGCGGACTCGCCATCCGCGTACCGGCCGATCTGTCTGCTCGACGAGGCGGGCAAGCTCTTAGAGCGCATAGTTGCCCACCGCCTCGTCGGGCACCTGTCACGGGTAGGTCCCGACCTGGCCGATTGCCAGTTCGGTTTCCGTGGGGGACGGTCAACCGTGGACGCGGTTATGCGTTTACGGTCCCTCACGGAGGCATCGGTCGGGCAGGGGAAGGGAGTTATGGCTGTGTCATTGGATATATCCAATGCCTTCAACTCCCTCCCCTGGGATTGCATAGGGCGGGCTCTGAAGTACCACAGAGTCCCGCCTTACATGAGTAGTCTCCTCGGGGATTACTTCCGTGGCAGGCAGATACGGTATACGGGCCGGTACGGGTTGCCGCGTCATAGGAAGATGTGTCGCGGGGTCCCACAGGGGTCGGTGCTTGGCCCCTTATTGTGGGACCTGGGGTACGACGCGGTAATCCGGGCTGCACTCCCCCCGGGGCTGTCAGTCGTCTGCTACGCAGACGACACGCTGATAGTCGCCGCGGGGGACACCTGGAGCGAGACCAGGTTGATGGCCGAGGTGTACACGACATGCGTTGTCGACCGCATAGAGAGGCTGGGCCTCAAGGTGGCCGTCCATAAGACGGAAGCAATGTATTTTGCAGACCGTCGAAATGGGCGGCCCGAGGATGAAGATCTCAGCCTCTCTATAGGTGGGGCACGGATCGAGGTGAAGAAAACCATCAAGTACCTTGGACTTCACCTCGATCCGAGGTGGCGCTTCGACGTGCATTTTGCACGCTTGGCCCCCAGAGTTCGGCAAGTAGCAAGAGCGCTTTCGCGCATACAGCCGAACCTCGGGGGCCCGAGGTATAAGGTCCGGCGTCTCTACGCCAACGTCGTCCACTCGGTGGCCCTTTACGGGGCACCGCTGTGGGCGGTGGCCGCAGCGGGGGCTGGGGCGCGGAGCTCATTTCAGAGTCTCCGTGCCTCACAACGTGTAGCAGCCCTCCGCGTGATAAGCGGCTACCGGACGTTGGCTTACGAGACGTCGGGCGTACTGGCGGGGATGCCTCCCTTGACCCTCCTGGCTGGGAAGTACTCGGCGAGATATTCTCGCCGAGTGGAACTCCAGCGGGAGGGTCTTGCAGATGACGAACTGCGGGAGGCCCTCGCGGAGTTGGAGCGCCAAGCCCGGCGACAACTGCTCCAAGAGTGGGAGCAGCTCCTGGCTGAACCACAGGCGGACAGCCAGGAGGTCGTTCGGGTTGTCCGACCCCATTTGGAAACGTGGTTGAACCATGGGGTCGGACGCCTCACCTATCGCGTGACACAGGTGCTCACCGGGCATGGCTGCTTCGGTGAGTACTTGTGTCGCATCAAGCGCGAGTCGACAACGCATTGTCACGAGTGTGGGGCGGCCAGCGACACGGCGGATCACACCGTGGAACATTGTCCACGGTGGGATCAAGAACGCCGAGAGCTGGTCGCCCAAATTGGAGAGGACCTCTCCCTGAACGGGCTATTGAAAGCCCTCTGTTCAGAGAAGAGGGAACAGTGGGAAGCTGTGGTCTCCTTCTGCTCCACGGTGATGGAGCAGAAGGAGACTGCAGAGCGGGAGCGTGAGAGGCTCCCAGAGGGACTCCGGGGGCGGGCACGAGCGGGTGGGGGGCCACCCGTTTCCCGTGTCTTACCCCGGGTCCAAGGAACATCGCCAGATTAGGGCCCCCTTCTCTCATCCCTAACGGAAGAGAGAAGGGACTATCCGGGGTGGTGGGCGTTGGGAGGAGCCGGCTCCTCTCGTTAGCCCACCACCTCCGGCGACAATGCGCTGGTGGGAGTAGCGCTGAGGAAGGATAAGCGGCGGCCGTTGGTTCCTGAGGTGGTACCGTCCACCTCAGGGTGGTTGTTGTTGGTGTAGCCGCCGCTGGACCGTGGTGAGCCGGAGTGGGGGCTCCGACTCACCCTGCACACGGTCGGAGACGGGGTGACGCTGCAGAGTGTGTCCTGCAGCGTCGCCAAATAAAGGTGGTAATCACCGAAAGGTGAAGGGGAGAAGAGGAGCACATCTCCTCTTCTCCTAAGAAATGATGCCCCAGGGGGGGACCCGCGCGCATGCTGATAAGGCGATCCCGGGTCCCTCCCTACAATGGGCAGAGTGGACACACCCCTGGGGTTTTAGTGGGTAAACCCTCTTTTCGAGGAGGAGGGGAGTCCCACATAACCCTTACCTCCCCCAGGTAAGGGTATCCATAAAGGATTTCCCCAGGGT